AAAAAAAAAAAAAAAAAAAAAAATAAGCAGGTAGAATTAAAGGGGATATACACGTATGCTTGAATTGGTGGTGTGTGTTTACCAGGATTAAAGAATTGGGAATTAGGGTTTAGGGTTTAGGGTTTAGGGTTAATATATTATGCATGCAGTTATTAAAAAGATTTGTATCATTAGGAGAAGGAGAAACAACACCAACAATTACATGTAATTGTACTCTTCTTTTTTCTATTTATAATTTAAATGGTCTTAAATTATTAAATAATCAATCTATGGATGTTGAATATCTAGAAATACCTATTGTAAGCCAAAGAAAAACACCCTAAACCCTAAACCCTAAACCCTAAACCCTAAATCCTAAACACTAAAGTACCCATGACGCACTAATCAACTTAAAGCGGCAACAGCAGGAACGAACAGCAGACTAAACCCTAAACACTTCACTGTCTACAATCAAGAGAAAATATTTCGTTTTCTAGGGTTTAGGGTTTAGGGTTTAGGGTTTAGGGTTTAGGGTTTGTGCGTCCAGAAAAATGCAGCTCCTGGTGTCCGTGAATCTATATTAACAATGCGTGTAAACGAGAGGGCAATATTTTTATTGTCTCCTTCTTTATTTATTCCCTCTAATACAACAAATATATCTTTTTCTTATAAGGATACAGCAGCAGCAAGAGAAGCAGCAGCAGCAGCAAAACAATTACAGGACGGGGGCCCTGGTGGGGGGGGCCCCGAGGGGCCCCAACAACTCCCTCTCTCCCATAGGCCACGTATGCCACTTGAGCAGCAGCAAAAGGTTGCTATGCTGCAGCACAAACTGCAGCAACTGCAGCAAATGCACCTAGAGCAGCAGCAGCAACTGCAGCAGCAGCAATATGATGACTCCAGTGTTGTACAGCTCGACGGACAGGAATGGCTCATGTAGGCAACAGCAACAGCAGCAGCTGCTGCAGCTGCAGCAGCAGCAGCAGCTGCTGCAGCAGCAGCTGCTGCAGCAGCAGCTGCTGCAGCAGCAGCTGCTGCAGCAGCAGCTGCTGCAGCTATTAGTACCGCTGCTGCTGTTGTTATTGCTGCTGCTGTTAATAGTATTGCACTTAACAAATGCTGTTGCTGCTGCTGCTGTGTGTGTTGCTGCTGCTCCTTCTCCCCCTTACCCTACAACCCCTATACATATCTTCGTGTTCCTGGTGCCTCTGCTTCTGCTTCTGCTGCTGCTGCTGCTTGTGCTGCTTATGCTGCTGCTGCTGCTGCTGCTGCTGCTGCTGCTGCTGCTGCTGTTGGTGTATAGGATGGATATGCAACTATGTAGTTTCTATGAAGGAGACAGTAAATGGTGGGGAATAGATCCATCAACAGCAACAAAAGAAAATTTTCCTGAAGAAATTATTCCTCCAGGAAAAACTACTCAAGATGTTATTGAAGAAAAAACAGAAATGCTTAAACAAAAAATACACGTAAACCCTAAACCCTAAACCCTAAACCCTAAACCCTAATTTCACATTTTTTTTTAGATAGTAATAAATCTATTTATTCCTCCAGGAAAAACTAGTCAAGATATAATTGAAGAAAAAATAGAAATGTACAAACCCTAAACCCTAAACCCTAAACCCTAATTTGTGTTTTTTAAGGTCAAGAGAGAAATAAAACGTAAACCCTAAACACTCAAACCCTTCTACACCTAAACCACCACCTGTTGATGTGGCGTTGGTTCTGTCTCCAGTGATAACCCCCAACACCAAACCCTAAACCCTAAACCCTCGAGTGCCTATCTGCTGCAGGACGAGATGGCTAGTAACCCTTTTAGCCCTTATTGGGATGACATAGAGGGGAACATGACTTCTGCCCACAAAGAACAGCAAACCGGTAAGGGTTTAGGGTTTAGGGTTTAGGGTTTAGGGTTTAGGGTCTAGGTGATGTATTATGTTGCATGCAAACCCTACAGCTGACTGTACACTGCAGCTACCCCCCCCAAGCCACTACCTGCCTAGCTAGCTATCTTGCTGCTGCTGCTGCTGCTGCTGCTGCTGCTGCAGAGTATTTGGAGGATTTATATGGTGTAGGTCGTTCCTCAGTAAATAATTATTCTCGTGGTTATTTAGCAGCAAAAGAAAAGGAGACAGTAAATAAGGCAGGGATGGAGACAGGACAGCGCATGCAAGGAATGTCTCTTTATTATGCATGGAGGGAGACACCTGTCTCCTTTGATTTATTATTATTAATTAAGGAAGGAATTATTAGTCAATATATTGAGCCTATACTTACCCCTAAATCCTTCAAGCTTAATATACTAGGCAAAACGGTAAATTTCTGCTGTTGCTGCTGCTGCTGCTGTTGCTGCTCCTGCTGTTGCTGCTGTTGCTGCTGATGGTGCTGCGTATATAGGAAGAGGCAGCCATGAATGTTTAGTTAGCAACAATATATTGGGGTGTATACGCAGGTCCTGGAGGATCATTTTGTTTATACAATGGATGCATCTGCTGGACCTAATTGGACAATGACAGAAGCTGTATGCAAACCCTAAACCCTAAACCCTAAACCCTAGCAGGTTGTCTATCTTGATTTCTGGTGTTTCTGCGGGTGCTACTGATATGCGTGTTATGTTATTTTGCTTTGTATTGGTGGTTTAGGGTTTAGGGTTTAGGGTTTAGGGTTTAGGGTTTGTGATGTATTTCACGTTTCTCTGTATTACGTTATGCTGTGTATATATAATCCGTATATCTGCATAATTGTATTTAATTAAGTAGTAATAAATAAATAAATTATAAATAAATAAATAAATAAATAAATATAATTAAATATATATGTATTGCTGCTGCTGTATATATACCCTCAGGCAACAAAACACAAGCCAATTCCTCGTGAGGAATTAGAGGCCCTCTTATCTAAGGCCGTCCCTGTCCCCTCTAAGACGGCTCTCCTAGATGGCCCTACAGCCCTCAGCAGCAGCAGCAGCAGCAGCAGCAGCAGCAGCAGTGCAACAGTACCTCATCCCCATACAGGCCTACCTATACCACGAGGGTTTGTTATACAGGAAGTATTCAAGGAATTACCTGACACTATTAATGATATTAATGAGCTGTCTGTACACCCCGCTATACAATTCAACTTCCATAAGGCAAGAAGCTCGAGGGGTATGTGGGGGTCTTGCTTTGTATCCATCTAGCTAGCTAGCTAGCTAGCTAGCTAGCTAGATGGATGGACAGCTTACTAGTTGGCTAGGTAGCGAGCTAGCTAGCTAACGAGAAGCATACGTGGAAGTCTAGCTAGCTGTATGTCTGGATAGCTAGATTGATCAATAGTTGTCTGGCTAGCTAACTGGCTAGCTATATATACCTAGCTAGCCAGTTAGCTTGCTAGATTACCATTAGCTAGCTAGTTAGCTAGCTAATGGCAAAGCCCCACAAGTTGGGGCTTTGGCAATGCATGTGAGTGCATGCTTGCATGCATGCATTGCATGCAGACACCGCCAATGAGAGAAATTTAAAAATTTAAACTTCTTGTCCGATAAGTTTTAGGGTTTAGGGTTTAGGGTTTAGGGTTTAGGGTTTAGTATAACTGGAACAAACTTAACATTTCTTAAGACTAATAATTAGAGGGGAAGATTTTAACTCCTGCATGCGTTATTGGTTTACTTGGACTAGTATATTTTGCTGCTGCTGTTGCTGCTGTTGCTGCTGTTACTGTGAGTCAGCCCCGCATGCAACTAGTATTAGACATATTCTTTGATGCTTTTGCTGTATGCATAGATATTAATTATGTTTGCAATTAAGAAGAAAATTAAATAAAATATAGTAGTAATGTCATTAAGACACCTGCAACAAGAAGAAAAACAACTACAGGGGGGTTATAAACAACAATTTATTTTTTTGGTGTATAGGTGTTATGATATTATTATTATTATTAATTAATAGGAATATAATTATTATATAATTATACTTTGTTGCAACTAATGACTGTCTTTAGCTAAGATCGAGGAGGTTCCTGTGTATTCAAAATAAACAATGCTTGCTGCTGTGCATGCAGCAAGACGATACATCTAATGGTATTGTTTTTAAGAGGCTTATAAGAAATAATTAATCAAATTAATCAAATAATATTCAATTAAATTTATTTTAATGAATCAGAATTGATTTAAAATAGAAGAAATGTTGCATTCAACTTGCTTACCATTCACGTTGTTGTGCAACTTGAACAAGAAAACTGCGCATCACCATAAAAGCAAAATAAATACATATTTCTTATTATCTTTCACGAATAAAAGAAAACATAAAAACTAAATTTTTATTTATTTCCTTTTTCTGCATTTTTATATCCTTTGTACTAATAGACCAAGGTTTCCATCGACGAAGCAGGACCCCGTTGTAGTTGTACTAGTCGTCGTCGTATATTCTTAAATACAATTTCATGAAGAGAATACATTTTCTTCTTTTATTTGTATATATTTGAATTAAATTCATCAAAAATATTCTATTTATGACGGTATTTTGCATAAATGACGGTTGAATTTGCCGTTCCATTCAGCTTTCTGCACCCATGATCTGCGGTGTATGCTCACCTTCGCGCGCATAAACGAATACCAAGAATAAACGACGTCACAGAGTGGTTTTTCATGAAATATAATTTAATTGATTTATTTTTGTATCGAAAATGAATCGTTGAACAAGTTGACGAGGGAAAAGAGCAGCGAATTGACCTCGTTTTTGCTGCTTTCCTCTTACTGTTTCAGTGTAACTTACTTACTGAATATTCACGAACTTGCACCTCTAAAGGAGTTTTTCTCCTTTACTAATGTCAAAATTACAATTTTTTGTGGTTTTACCCTTTAGTTATTGCTCTTTGTTTAGATATACCTCCTGATTCATCCGTTGCTTTTCTGCATGCACCGAGGCTCCTGGTTGTTTCTGCGGAATACTGACTCCTGTACAGCGGATTTTCCTCGTGAATGTCATTAAGCAACAGCAACAGCAGCAGCAGCAGCAGCAGCATCAGGACGACCCTCATCGGCAGGAGGATAGGATGAGCATCAGCATTTCTTATTTCCAAGTGTAGAAGTGTTATATGTATTGAATAAAATATAGATATCCCTTATTGATTAAGGGTTTAGGGTTTAGGGTTTAGGGTTTATTGTATATATATATATATTATATAGAAATGCGTCTATTAAAACGTATTCGTCATAGAGAAGGAATATCTTTACGTTTATTAATAGAAGATGCAGATGATGTATGGTTTTTATATAATTTTATTAATAAAGGAGATATAGTAAAAGGATTAACAATAAGAAGAGTACATAAGGAGACAGCAGCAGGAGGTGTATGTACAGAGACAAAGAAGATACTTTTATCAATAAGAGTAGTATCTTGTGAATTTGAGGCAGCAGCAGCAGCAGGAGGAACAGGTGCAGCAGCAGCAGCAGGATCTCTAGGATTATCATCAGCAGCAGCAGCAGCAGCAAGAATTCGTATAGCAGGTACTGTATGTGTAGAGACACCGCATGCAAAGCTAGGAGCTCACCATACACTTGAATTAGGAGAGAATGACGAGGTGTACGTACAGAAGGAGGAGATGGATAGGGAGCACGAGAGGCAATTAAAGGAAGCAGGAATAGCAACAGAGACAACAGCAGCAGCAGCAGCAAAAGCAGCAGCAGCAAAAGCAGAAGCAATTGTATTACTTATACAAGGAGGATTAGCTAATCTTATTGCAATTAGTGGTAAATTAACAAGAATATTAATAAAAATAAATATAAATATACCTAAGAATAGATCTGCATGCACAGGATATAATAAAGCCCTAAATAATTTTTATAAGGAAATATTTAATTCTTTATTATTATATATAAATTGGCATAAATTAAGTATATTAATAATAGGAGGACCTGGGTATTATAAGGAACAATTTCTTTCTTATTTATTAAGGGAGGCAAAAGAAAAAGAATATAAATATATTATTAATAAAAAACATTTATTCCTTCTTGTGCATGCATCCTCTGCATATAAGCATGCACTTAATGATTTATTTACTAATCCTTCTCTTCTTCGTGTCTTACAAGACACAAAGGCAATAAGACAGGCTGCATGCATAGATCAATTCTATCGTATGCTTAATAACTCCTACCGCAGCAGCAGCAGCAGCAGCAGCAGCAGCAGCAGCAGCAGCAACAGCAGCAGCAGCAATGGAGGGTACCAACAGAGCTCGTTAGTATGCTATGGTAAGGAGGAAGTACGTCGTGCTGCAGACATAGGAGCAATAAAGATATTAATGATAGGAGAAGGACTAATAAGAAATGCAGAGACAAAAGAAAGAAAATATTTAATTCGTGTCTTACAAGACACAGAAGAAAAAGGGGGAGAAATTCTCTCCTTCTCTGATCATCATCCATCAGGGGAACAATTAAATCTATTAGGAGGTATTGCTGCTATACTTAGGTACCCTTTATTTGATGAGGAAGAACAAGAACAAGAGGAACAGGAACAGGGAGAAGAACAGCAGCAGCAGCAGCAGCAGCAGCAGCAGCAGCAGGAAGGAGAAGGGGAGGCGGTCGGTGGAGGGGGAGATAAAAAAGAAGACGTTTTTTTTTGGGACTAATACTCCTAACTTTCTTTTTCTTTTTTTCTCTTGTTTATTTTATTTTATTTATTTATTTATTTATTTTATTTTGTTTTTTATTATATAATTATGATTATATAATTATTATTTATATAAATTTATATACTTGTATATTTATTTATACTATAAAGACATAGAAATGTGCAGCAGCAGCAGACGCAGCAAACCCATTAGTAGCAGCAGCAGATGGAGTTCTCCTTACCCATAGGTAAATAACACATATACGCATACACACATATACATACATATACACACATATATACATACATATATATATGTATATACACACATATATATACGCATATACGTATACGTATGTACGTATATATGAATAATATATGCAAAAGTATAGAGGTACGTATATACACCTAAGGAGCAAACGGCCGGTGGTGTAATAGAGAGGGGTTAACGATGCAGGGTTTGCAGGAGAGAAAGAGAAATAAATAAATTAAATTTGCACGTTTTTATTATTTAAATAAAAGGAATTAAAAATAAAGAAAGAAATATACAAAAATATTTCCTTGCTGCTGCTGCTGCTGCTGCTGCTGCTGCTGCTGCTGCTGCTGCTTACCCGTGTGGGCCGCCGACCAGCGGCTCTCGTGTGCATGCATACACTACGCACATAGATCATGTAGTAAATTAGATGTATTTTCTCCTTTTTTTCTTTAATTTATCATTAATAATATAATTTCTTTGTCTTTCTTGTTAATTAATGCAAAAACGCCTTGCAGAAGTGCCATTTTCGTGACGTTTCCCCCATTCTATGTTGGGTCACGACACTGCAGTGGTCGTCAACAGTTGGAGGCGTAGATATATCCTTTTCTGCTACTGAAAATATTCATTTATATAGGAATTTAAATATTAATTGATAATACGTAAATAATCATTAATTAATTA